TGCTGTGCAATCGTTGGCACGTGTTTCGCTATGTGGGGTCTATGCTTAAAAATAACCAAAAAACAATCAAAAATTCAGAAGAGTCACCGAATGTGAGTCATAGGGGTCCTAATAGGGGTTGTACACATGTTCATGCACATGTTACGGGGTCACGTCGAACCAAAGCGATGCAGTGATTCCAAATGCAGAAATTCTGAGGGGTGTACATGTTCTCCGGGCAAACCCGCCATAGCTTGCATGATGAGGTGAAGTCAAGATGTGGTTCATGTCGCGATGAGCAAGGAGCTTTGTCAGGAGGTTGCTTTCAGAGACGTGCTTCGCCTCACGCAATACCGCACATAGGAAGCGTGGTGTTCGAGCCTTCGGAAGGCAAAGCCAGCGAGTAGGCCGAGTCCATGCGCCACGCAAGAATCGAAGGCATGGTCAGCGCTAAGAGTTCGCGAAACAGATATGAACTCTGCGCGCTGCTCTCTCCTATGGTTGTTAAGGGTTCCCCGTGGAGGGGGAATACAAAGTCCCAATAGGGATGAGGGCCTATTCAGGGCTAATTGCAGACCCTTTGGGCCCTTTGGGCGCCTCTTTGGCATCCCGTCTTTAGGGGGGGGCACTGACCATGGGGGTCTTGGCGCTTGGAGAAGTTCGTGGCATAGCCGTGTTGGCTCTGGTTATCAACTTCAAACCCTCAGCTTTCCCGGGCAGGACGCTCAGGTCATCTTCAGAGAAGCAAAGCATTGGATGAGTGAGAGCAGCAATTGTGTCGGCTGCAGCAGTGGCGAGCGTCTTACCAGCAAGCAAGGTGCTTGCTCCAATTCGAACATCTTTCGAACACAAGTGTAAATTCTGTTTACAGGGGGGGAATCACCACATTCTGGGCAATTTCCAGATACCAGATACCTGGTTATTTCAGAGTAGTTTCCCTGTCTAATCCCAGGGTGCAATGGACAAAACCTTAGAACCAGGCGGCCCTTTTCGCTCGGCTCGAGGAATTCGTTTCGAGGCGTCGGGATGGGCTGCGGAGCTTCAACAAATGCCCGGGTCACAGCCTCCAGGAGTCTCTCGGGGTTTGATTGGCTGAGTGCAAAGACTGGGCGCCTTTCACTTTCTGTGTTGTTTTTTTGGGGGGGGTGGAGCCCGTGTTTTGCGTTTGACTGGCCCCCGTCCAGGGCTTAACACGGTCAGGTGGCTGGTTGGTTGTTTGGTTGGTGGGTTGGGTTGGTGGGTGGGTTGGTTGGTTGGGTTGGTTGATTGGTTGGTTGGTTGGTCGGTGGGGTAGGTTGGCCGCATCGATTGGTGGCAGTTGAGAGTTTCTTGGGGCTGGTTTTGGTTTTGGGCTTGCTGAGATTTTAAAGGGGGTGTTGACCCCCTTCGGGGTTCATTTGGGTTTGGTACCAGGTTGACATTGTTGGATGGTTTAGGGTTGACTTTAGGTCGGTTTGGGTTGGCTTGGAGCTGATTTGCGTTGAGCGTGCAGCTCGTTTTCGCACCAACTTTTAAAACTACTTCAGGGCGTGGTTATGCAAGTTTGGGGCTGGTTACAAGTTGCGGGGTGCCCCAAACTCGCCCAAAGCTCGCGCAACCACATCGATGCGGACCAACTCACCCTTCTGCATGGGCAAAGGACAAATCCCCCCCCATCTTCGAAGTCCCCTATTTGAACACGCACACATACACATACTATATGTACACATATATATATATATACATACATACACATATATATATATATATATATAGCGCCTACATTTTAAGATCAAGTGGGAAGGCCGACATTGGCTTGGATCAACTTTCTGGATGTGCCAGGACTATCATCGCGAATAGCTTTGATGTCCTGGCAAAGCTGGAAAGGGAGAAAATGCCTGCCTCTGAGGAGAGGTGCCGAATGCCATGCCTGGAGGTGAAATACAAGAGTCTTCACGTTATCCAACGGTCACCAAAAAAGGGCCCATAGCCATCACTCATTGTTTTTCAAAATGCAAAAAAATACGGGGAGCCCCCAAACATGCGCCTTTCCGTTTGATTTTCCTTTAAACCAACCCCAAACAGGGGGGACCGGTCCCTCCAAGAAGCTACCAGGAATTTGCCATTTCAGGCTCACCTTCGAGTAGGGGGCGCCCAAAAGGAAAACCACTCGAAAGGGTCCCACCCGGGTTGGCGCATACTACCTATCACGCGATGCAACTGGCGCCTCTCTCAAAGGCGTGGTGCAATCCTGTTGCAACAAAGGTACTGTTGCAGAACCTGCCCTGTGGGATTCCTACTGAAAGTTCGTATAGGAAGCTGGATCCAGGGGGTACAACATCACGAGAATTTGTGGACTCAGGCACAAAGGTCGGGAAGCGAAGGTCATGATACTCTCAGCATCTTGGATGCAGAATCCACATGATATCCATCAACCAATATTCGTAGGGGTTTACGCATTCCTGCCCTCGTTTGCTTGGACATGAAGGTCATGCTTGTTGATTTGACGATCTTTTCAAATTCGACGAGCCTTCTAGCAGCCTTTGTGTAGAGTCCTGGAACACAGAGCATGCTCGCTGATTTTCCAGGCCGTAGAATGGAACGGCGTGCAACGCAGGGTTTGTATCCTGTCCTGTTGTGTTGGTTTCGTGTTCCCTGCATAGTGACATTTGGATGTGTGAAAAGTTTGGACCCCTTGTCGGCTTTTGAAGGGACGCCATCATACAAACCGCCAGTTTAGGGGTCCACTTTGTGCTGTACGCTGCTTGCCTCAAGAGGTTCTGGACAGCTTGTGCGCTCATCTATCGGTAAGCGAGTTACTCGGACACTCACTCAACCTTTGCACCTAGCTTTACCTCTTGTTCAGGCTACGGCTACCTGGCTGTTCTATTCGTTCTTGAAACCCGATACTTGCACTTTGGGCCCACCAAACGCCAATCCAAGCCACCAACGACACAATGAGAGGCGCAGTTTTTCGTTCATCTTCGCAATGCCCCGCTCACCTCGCTGAGGCAGAAGCGTTGGAAGGTACCAAGCGAGCGTTGCCTGGCTTCACACAGCCCGTCAGTGCGCTGAGATATGTTCTGGATGGCTACAAGAATTCCCTCATCCTCTGGTATCTCACTTTTTGAGGTGAGAATGATAGGCAACGGCTTCATTTTACATGGACCTTAAAGAAAGGTCCGACTTGTGCGTGCTGAGGAGGAACTCGTTCTTGGCGGCGAACGACTCGGATATTCATATAGAAGCGCCTTGTCTTGATCCGTTGGCTCTGCAAAGTTGAACGTGCCTGCATACCACTGACTGTAGGCCCCAGCACCTCGCCGTCTGGAAAGTTTTGACTCGACTACCGCTGTGCCTGCCAGACTTGAGTCCGGAGCCAAGCATTTTGCGATGGCCGCGACTAGAACCAGTGGCCGCTACCAGAGTCGCCAAAGGTTGCCGAGGGAAGCTGCAAGCTTCCTGGTGGTTTTTAGTGCATGGGGGCTTTTGCTCCAAGATCAATGTGCGCTATGCAGAGGGGCAAAGATTCAGCTGGGTGCAGGTAGGCGCTTGGCTTTGTGAGCCGATACATCTAGTCCGGGCACGTGGTTGCCAAGCAAGAACAAGCGCAGCTGCCGCTTTGACCGTCAGTCCTGGCGTCCCGGTCGGCTGGTCGGGAGCCTTGGCTCAGGTTCGAAGTGACGCTCCCACCAACGTGGAGCACTCACAATCAGAAGGCCCGAGCCTATGACTCCGCCATCTTCCGCCCATTGGCTTCCCTTGCGCGCATGCGAAAACAAAAAGAAACGCGCCCCTGCGCACACCTTTTTGCCAGGTGGCCGAGTTTTCAAGGAGAGCAAGATGCTGGGAAAGCGCTCCAAAGATTTTGGTCACTGCAGTGGAGCGCAGGCGCCTGGTTGCTGAGCACCTTGGCGAATCATTGGTGCGCTCGGTAGAAGTCGCTGGCAGTTTGTTTTTTGGGCTGGTGAAAGGGTTGGCCTGGCAAAACGAGCTGGAAAGGGTGCAGTGCCAGATTGTCATCTTGTCAGATGCCAATTTCGACAACCAGTTTGGATGATACGTGGGAAGAGAAAAAAGACAGCAATCGGAGGTGGCGGCTGGACGAGGCAGAGGGGCTTATCCCAGCCCGACCTGCCGAGGAAGCCGTGGGATGTTTGTTTGCTCAGCAGTGTGTGAGCATGGAAGCAAGTGCATTCTGGCAGGACAAGGCAGCGAATAGACAGCCTCGCTCCCGGAAGATCGTCGAGGTGGAGGTCACAGTTGGCCCTTAACCAGTGTGATCTTGCCAGGAGCGCCTGTGGTCCCCAAAATACATAGCTTTGCACCATTTTGGACGTTTCGTCCAGAATCCCCTTGCTTGGCAGCTCGATGAAGTTGGGCGTGCCCACCCTCACTTGTCTAAAGCCGACGTTTCAAACTTTTGGCGATAGCTGGCCCATTTTCAGTCAAATTTCCACGCTGAACCTTTGGGCAGGTGAGCACTACAATACATGTTCTGACAAGAGGGCATTGGTCCTATGTACTTCGGCGGTATCGCCTAGGCCTCCTGTCAGGATTTGGGAGGGAGGTGGCATTCGCATGATTCTTGCCGCATTTGCCTGCTTTTGCAAAGGCAGTTCCCAGCAGGGCGTTTCACCTCCGCGCGGCTTCTCCAATGTAGACGCTTCGCCATTCCTAGCTATGTCTTGTCTGGCCATGAGTTGACTTGAGAGTTTTTCATTCGCATGGCCCAAGTTTTTGCGGCCAAGTTCCGGCTTGGCCCATTGGCAAACAGCCGTTGGGTTACTTTGAATTCCTAGCACCCGTGGGCTCACTGGCTTCCCAGTGGCATGCGAGGGCAAAATGTCTGCATCCGGTGTAGCCGGCTTGGCCTTCGAGGCTTGCTTGAAGCCACGGCCTTTGCTTAGGGTGTGAAGCAAACAAGGCCAGTCCTTTGGTTTTGGTTTTTTTCAGCCTGCTTCTTTCCTGCTTTCCGCTTTAATTCCTGTTTTGATGCTTCTCCGATGCAGAAGCAAGCAAACTCCACACCAACCCTCTAAACCCATCATATCACAACCAAGTGTTCCTGGCATCAACCGGACCCTCAAAATCAGCCCACCCAACCTCAACCAGAATTTTACCCAGCAACCTTCGAATCGTGACCCCAACCCTACCGTAATCTGCAATCCACCATTGTTGCTTTCCTAGCTGAAGGGGCCTGGAAGAAAACACCCAACCACATGCGTTGTCCCAAACAATCCTATGAGGCCGACACAGTCTTGAGACAAGGTCGGACTTTGGGTGGCCAGGGGTTTTGTCAGGCGTGAACTTAACTGTGCCAAGCGCACATGCTGTTTTTTGTACATGCATTCCTTGCATGCTTGAGTCGATTATTTTGCTCTGAGGGAAAACATGCGCTGCGCGCAAGCTCGCGCCTATCTGCATATGCACATGTGGCTTCACCGCATTCCGTTCAGCCGCCAGGTTAAGCACAAGCTTGCAGTGAGTTGCAGTGAGCAGCAAATGAGCAGCGCCCACAACCCGCATTGGCCATGTCCGTAGATGGTTCTACTACCTGGCTTCATGGGGTTTATAGCAAGGCCTGCCAGAACCGATACCACGATGGTAGAACCAAAAGTCAATGGGTTTTGGTCGCTGCTCAAATGTTCTTTTTCCAGAACAAAAACCCTGGACTTTGCAGGCAGACCCAAGATGATTGCTAAAACCAAGGTAGCTTGCATAGCGAGGGATTCAACCCCCTGCATCTCATGAGGGCGTACGGCACGATGTGTTTCTTGCCCCCCAGTAGTTTAACTTTGGCCGGGATTTTTCCATATCAATGGTTGCAACTCTGAAGCATGTTGTTGGTGGACATAGATCCGACAAATATCCACATGTAGATGATGCCCACCATGCAGATGATGCGGGTACCATTGAGCCAGTCTGGTCAAGGCATGGTCACTTGTAGAGTGCCGGCTGCTCACCAGTTGCTACAATCCAGCTCATTTAATCTTTCGAATATATTTTGGCTTCTTTTTCTAAGTTGGAGATGCGATGTTCCCTTCATGTCCTGATTTTTGTCTATATCTGAAAAGTGGCCACATGTAAACAAAAAACATGTAGAGCAAGCTCTTCGAATGCGCGGAATGTGTTCCAACTTGGGAAGTCACGCAGGGCTTGCAATCCCGACATGGTTTTGACTGCTTTCCTCAGCCGCGTGTTGCCACGTCGACTGTTGGATCGGCCGAAACAGCCGGACGAATTCCTCACAATTCTCAATTTGGCCAAAAGGAAAGCCAGATAGAGCATTCTTCTTGGAGTTTTCAATTCGGCCAGATGGAGCATTGTTTTTTCAGACCCCTTTTTTAGATCCACCTCCCTTGAGGGCAATGGATGTGGGCGGACGCGGCGCTGATTGGGTACCGCCCCTTCAAGCAGCTGAGCACCGAGCTGGCGTCTTGGAACCCGGCGAGATGGAGCGAAGCCATGAGCTTCGAGGACGCGGAAATGTGGCGCCCTGCTTGCTTGGGTGGGTGGGTGGGTTGGATGGTTGGTTGGATGGTTGGTTGGATGGTTGGTTGGTTGGTTGGTTGGTTGGTTGGTTGGTTGGTTGGTTGGTGGGTGGGTGGGTGGGTGGGTGGGTTGGTGCCTGGGTTGGTGGGTGGGTGGGTGGGTTGGATGGTTGGTTGGTTGGTTGGTTGGTGGGTTGGTGGGTGGGTTGGTGGGTGGGTGGGTGGGTGGGTTGGTGGGTGGGTGGGTGGGTGGGTTGGATGTTTGGTTGTTTGGTTGGTTGGTGGGTAGGTTGGGTTGGTTGGTTGGTTGGTTGGTTGGTTGGTTGGTTGGTTGGTTGGTTGGTTGGTTGGTTGGTTGGTGGGTTGGATGGATGGATGGATGGATGGATGGATGGATGGATGGATGGTATGATGGTTGGGCGGTTGCATAGTTGGAAGTTGGGTGAGAGGATGGTTAGATGGTTTGTTTGTTGGTTGGTTGGTTGGTTGGATGGATGGATAGATGGATGGATGGATGGATGCATGGATGGATGCTTGATTGCTTGGTTGGTTGCCGCTTGCTGGGTTGGCACGGATCGCCCAACACTCGCAGAAAGGAGGAGGAGGCCGGGTTCCATGCTGACGAAATGGACGTCTTGCACGGCAACGCCACGGGCTCTTGCTGAAGACACACAAATAAACAAACAAAAGAACAAATAAACAAATAAACAAGCAAACAAACAAACAAACAAAGCAAACAAACAGGCCGGCCGGCCTCGTGGTCCCAGCACGACGGTGCCGGCTCCACCGGCCAGCCGCTGTCGCTGCCGGGCACAGCCGCAACTGTTCAGGCTGCTGTAGAGGTTCTGGTTGAGTTGAGTTCCAGGAAGATGTCGCGTGCGAGGTCCCGGGTTTACGCCAACTCCAGCTCCCCCACTTGCTTTACGGGAAGCAACTCCGGCGCCGTAGTTTTGAAGAGCGCCGGGAACCGCGCTGCCGCTGCATGTCGACTAGCGCCTGGCCCTTCGACTTCCAGGAGAACGTCTTGCCCTTCAGCGCCAGACGGAGC